GACAACATGCTCGCTGTCGTTTGCCACTACGGTCAGCGGCTCATATGTGATTTTGTCGTAGTAGCGTAAAGATGATTAGCAAAGATGGGGATGATGCAATTGCAATGCTTTTAACTTAACTTTTTTATGTATGTGTTACTTAAATTTATTTATATTTTACCTTGTATGTATGTACATACATATACTTATAGTAATTTAGCCTCATTTATCAAAAATTCAATTAACGAACATGCACCGCAAACCGCGCATGTGCGCGCACATGTTCGTCCTGTGTAGCCACTGTTATATAGTCTGTTCCAATAGCAGTCCGGTTTACAGGATTTAGTCAGAACTTACAGGAAGTCGTTCCTATTGACATAAAACCTGTAAGTGGGAACACATTTGAGAGAGTAACTGAGCAACTGTTCCTAGTCAGAAGTTACAGGATTTAGTCCGGAGATTTCTTTCCTGTAAGTTCATGAAAAGTGTCAAACGATCAGCTGATTTACATGTGCAAACAAAAACAGAAAGCGGTGAAAGCAAAGAACCTTATATTTCTTATAAAATGGAATTAAACAACGAAATATTTAAATATGTATAGATTTTATTAATTATTTAGTGATATTTCAGCCAAATGCATGGTAAATACCATTATTATTGGGGATTTTAATATAAATATGAATATATCATCGACATATAGTAGGAAGCTTAATGAGATATTCTCTCAGCAGGCAATGAAACAGTTAATCAACTTTGATACCAGGGTTACTGCACAGTCCGAAACGCGCATCGACTTGTTATACTCTAACACTAATGAAGTTTCATGTGAAAAAGCTGAGGAACATAGAATAACGGATCACGAAACCATAATGTTCAAATGCAATATAAAAAAACAAGGCGAAATCAATAAACTCTCTGAATTAATTTCTTGGGATGAGTACAGCCCAGACAACCTCATAAATCTTTTGAGACAATGCCACTTTGCAAACCTGAATAGTTTCAATATTGATGATATGCTCGAACATATCAACCTTTGTTTGATTTCGAGTATGAATCAACTAACTTCTCGGGTACAAAGGCGGGTTAAACTTAGAAATAAATGGTATGATAGACAACTGACTGACACTAATAAAGAAAAGTTTAGGTTACACCAAAGGGCAGTACTCACAGGTGATTGGGTAGATTACAACAAAATAAAGAAAGAGTATACGAAAATGATCAAAATTAAGAAAATTCAGTATATGGAACACAAGGTAGAAAATAATAGAGGTGATAGTCGTTTAATGTGGAAATATTTAAAGAATATTCTTAATAATACGGGTAACAGAGACAATATCAAAGAAGTTCTCATCAACGGAAAAATATACAGAAATAGTATGGTAATCGCCGAAGAACTAAACAAGTACTTTGTGGATAGTATCGTCGACATAAATAGTAATATAGAGAACGTAAATTGTGAACAGTTACGACAGGAAGACAGTCGAGGCACCTTTAAATTTGAGAAAATTACCTCAGAGGATGTTATCCTTATAGTGAAGAAATTTAAGACTAAAATTGGTGGAAATAATTTATTATCTGACGGTGTTATAAAGGATTCAGTTGAATACATGGGACACTTTTATGCCTTATTAATAAATAAGAGTCTTGAATCAGGAACAGTACCAAAAGAATGGAAAATCTCGACCATAGTTCCGGTAAAAAAAGTGAAAAAAACTGTAAAAGCCGAGGAAATTAGACCAATTAATACACTGCCTAGCATGGAAAAAATCTTGGAAAATGTGGTAAAAAATCAGTTGGCGCGCCACATTGAAAGTAATAACATACTCATTAAGGAGCAATCAGGTTTTAGAGCTAAACACTCTTGCGAGACTGCGCTAAATTTTGTTATATCCCAGTGGAAGGAAGACCTTAACTCGAAGATGAATATCGTTGCCGTTTTTATTGATCTCAAAAGAGCTTTCGAGACCATTGACAGGGCAAGAATGTTGAAAAAGCTCGAATGCATTGGTATTGAAAACACGGAGCTTAACTGGTTTCGAAGCTTTCTCTCAGATCGTATGCAACAAACTGTAATCGAGTGAAGCTCGGAACACTTTGACGACTGCAACTTCACGACGTAACGACAGCGACATCATTTTGTCGACAAATGTCGCCTTGAAGCCAGCTTCTTAAACATTTTGAAGACCTCAGCGACATAGCAAACAGCCGATTTTAAAGTTTGACATTTTGGTATATTTATTTCACAAATTGTGTATTTTTATTTAAGTAAATAAGAAAAACATGAACAATCAAGAATATGTGATTAATTTTGCGACAATTTAATTTTGCAGCACTACATCTACTCATTGTCGCCGGCAAAATTAGAAATAGATTTAATTTGGCGACGTCGACAATTGCAGTCCTGCAGCCAAGATGTCGTGCTGTCGTCAAAATAATTGTGCCCGTAAGAACGTGTGTATTTAAAATTTGACAGATGCTGCTTGTCGCTTGCTGTCGTCAAAGTGTTCCGAGCTTCAAGTGTGTCAAATAAAGTGGCAGTCAATATTGGGTTGCCGCAGGGATCGGTATTGGCCCCAGTACTTTTTAATATTTACATTAACGACATAAATATGGCACTCAAGCACTGTAAGTTAAAACTGTTCGCTGATGATACACTGTTAACGATCAGTGACAGAAACTTACAGACTGCGATGACTAAAATGCAAGAAGACTTGGATTCTTTGTACAAATGGTTGTGTTTAAATAAACTTAAGTTGAATGTAAAAAAGACACAGTTCATGATCCTCACTAGAGCAGTTAATCTTGGAACCACCAGTTACAATTTAAAAATCAAAGAGGAAGAAATTGAGGAAGTTAAACTCATTAAGTACCTGGGTATATATATATAGATAATAAACTTAAATTTGATGAGCATGTTGAGCATACAGTGAACAAAATTGCGAAAAAAATTGGTCTTATGAAAAGAACTTGTAAGTATCTGAGAAGAAGGTATAAAACCCTGGTCTATAGATCTATAGTAGAACCACATTTTATATACTGCCCAACAATCTTCTTCTTAGCAAGCGACGCAAATATCGAGAAATTGCAAAAAATGCAAAATAGAGCTATGAGGTTCATATTAAATAAGCGTTACGATACACCTACACAGGAGATGATCACAGATATGAATTGGTTGAGTGTTAAGCAACAGGTTTTCTATCATGCTATGAAATTCGTATACAACATAAAGAACGGTAAACTTCCAGACTATCTGAGCGACAATCTTCGGTATATAAATGAAACTCATTCATATATACTCAGGGAAAACAATTGCTTTAGACTCCCACTTTATAGAACAGAGGTAGACAAAAAAAATATATTTTATAAAGGTTTAAAGTGTTTTAATGAGTTACCGCCACATGTTAAAGACTGTGATAACTTTGTTGCTTTTAAAAGACAACTATTTGATCACTGTAAAACTCTGGCTATTAGGTAGGAGAGCACGGAACGGAATGAAAACCAGGCCTTTCCATCCGACCAAGCAGCAAATGATCTAGCATACGAAAGCTTCCGACTATGCCCAACAGCCCGACCATAACGCGGAGCGGAAACTAGGCCTTTCCGCCCGCCTCACATCACGGAATCCAGCGTCAGGGTTTGCATATTAATGACGACGGGAACATGGATCGGAGACTCGGCCTTTCCGACCGTGACTACCAACTCGTGAGCAACGCGGAGCGGAAACAAGGTCTTTCCGCCTGCTGCACATAGTACATATTTAAAGGTAGACTGGAGACTAGGCCTCGCCAGCTACCAAACTAGTTAGACAATATACATTTATATAGGTTATTTGATAGTTTTAGAAACATAAACAGCTTTGTAATTGAAAATTTAAACTTACATATACGCATACTTTGTTATATATTAAAAATACCTATCTGTACTTTTAAGTCGCAAGACTGTAACAAATAAATAAATAAATAAATAAAATCAGTGTAGTGCCAATGACATGTAAACAAACCGTCTGACGTTTTTACAGGAAATAGTGCTTTTTGCGTTCCTATGCACTTCTGCATCTGTTCTCCTTTTACTCTCATTTGAGAGCGTAAAATTGTAGTTTGACAGTTCCACAGGTTTTAGTCCGAAGTTCAAAGGAACAGACTAATAATGAGGAAGCATTAGGTGCAATCCCGTATTCCTCGGACTCGGACTAGTAAAACTGTCAAAAAATAAAAATTCGCTCAGAGCGAGAGAGTAACATTGAGAAGTACGGGATGGCCTTCTAGTAAAAAAATGGTAACTTCTGTCAACTTCAACATAACCTCCAAATTTTGGTTGTAAATTTTTGCTTATTTTGTATGTAAACACATGTAAATAACCAAAAACACTTTCAAATTCATTAGAATCCACTTAAACAAGTAATTAAATATTTTTCAACGTGAATTAGCAGAGTGCACTTTTCTTTTGTTTACAATTTGGTTGCCAAACACACTACAGCTGATCGTTTGACACATTTACCAGAATTTACCAGCAAAAAATTCTCGGACTAAAACTGGTAACTTCTGACAGAGAGAGAACCGTATTTACCCTCTTTTTTGTCCTCTCAATAGTCAGAGAACCGAGTTCGGGATCGATTTCCAGTAAAATCTGACTGATTCTGACTATTTCTGACTGGTCCGGACTCGTACGGGATCGCAACTATTAATTGGCAGATTTAACGATTATTAGTTAGGTGCCCGTTAGAGCTAATTTCATGAATGTTTCTGGGTGCGGCAGTTAGTGATATTTTCCAATTAATTGCTCACGCAAAATTTTAAAATTTTTAGTTATCAGTAGTTATTTTTTAAAAACGAACACCTTGAGGAGCCCGAACACTGTCTTTGTGTCGCTTTACCAACTTCAATTTTTCTTTAGGATTGCAAATTGCAATTATAGAAAGAAGCAACCCTTCTTTCACAAGTGCAACCCTGAGTAATCTATGGTTTTCTTTATTTTGCAACTTTTGCTTATCCTTAAAATCGAATGTGATAAAAGAGCACAGATAGAGCTAGCAGATATGCAGCAATGGTAATTGTTTTTCATTGAAAATCAGACTCATATTCTTTGCCAAGAGCAAAAGGCGACGTTTTTTGATTTTCGTGCTATAAATCGACAAAAAGGAATAATTGGTCTTCAAAATTCGCCCAATATAGTGAGCAAAGGGCGAAGTGAAACTATAGATTGTATTTGGAGTTGGAGAAAGCGGAAATTAGTGAAATTGGTTGGAGCAATTGCGAGAAAGGAAGCAGTCCGCAGTAGCAGAGGCAGCGGAAGAAGAAGAAACACCCGTCTGCAGCTATTGTGAGCAACGTCAGCGTCGCGGCTGAGGCAGTTCAGCGCCCCAACCCCGACCCCGGAAAGTCAAATGTGAAAAGATGGCGACGAGTCGCACTAGTCGCATACAGCAAACGAAGAATATAAATTCGTTCTTCTCCAAAATACAAGGTGCGTTCTCTGAAGCATGTACACAGCAGCGCTTATCCACTGATAAGAAAACGTTAGAAAAAACATGGAAGTTAATGGACAAAGTCGTAAAGCTGTGTCAACAGCCCAAAATGAATTTAAAAAATAGTCCCCCCTTCATATTGGACATACTGCCCGACACGTATCAGCGATTGCGTCTCATATACTCTAAGAATGAGGATCAGATGCATGTCTTACATGCCAATGAGCACTTCAATGTTTTCATTAACAACCTGATGCGCAAGTGCAAACAGGCCATCAAATTGTTCAAGGAAGGAAAGGAGAAAATGTTTGATGAGAATTCACATTATCGAAGAAACTTGACTAAGCTTAGTTTAGTTTTTTCGCACATGCTTAGCGAACTGAAGGCGATATTCCCTAATGGAGTATTTGCCGGTGATCAATTTCGAATTACGAAGGCAGATGCCGCTGAGTTTTGGAAGCTCAACTTTGGAAACAGGTAAAAAACAGTATACATAATACATTTCCAACTACAAAATTTTGCGAAATAATGGAAATAAGTTAGAAATTCTCATTGTAAAACAAAAATAAGACCTTTACAATTCTTACTTTGCTTGTTAATGCGATTATTTCCCTATGTACCGATTTTAACGTAGGCACTAAGGATTTCTAAGGAGAAGCTTGACCAAACCATAACATGTGTATCTGTTAGCGCCAATCTATTATTATTATTATTACTAAGGTTTTCCAAACTTTACAACAGAAAATAAACTGACCAAAACCACGGGTACACAAATGATTGGTGGGTATCGCCGATCTAGACGGGGTTAGATCGCCGAAACAACAGCCCTTGGTCGGGTAAAACCCGAGTCATTCCGGTACGTAGAACCGGCTGTCGTGGGAAAGTAAAACGGTCCTCAAGTCGCTCGCCGGCAGCACTTGGGGCAAAGACAAAGAAACGTTGCTGGCAACATACAAGGCAATTGGCCGGCCGGTTCTAAGTTATGCAGCGCCTGTTTGGTCACCGGGGACTAGTTGGACGCAGTGGACGAAGCTACAGACTTGTCAGAACGCCGCACTCCGGACAGCGACTGGGTGCCTTCTGATGACGCCTGAGCATCACCTACACAGCGAGGCCCAAGTGCTCCCCGTACGGGAACACAATAAAATGCTCAGTAAGCAGTTTCTGGTGGGGTGTCACAGAAGTGAACACCCTAACAGACCACTGCTGGAGGAGGAGCCTCCTATTCGTGTACAAGGACGCAGTCCAGACCTACACAGACCAACCACTGGACACAATGACGTACAGACAAGCGATCAACGACATTCATAGGGAGTCGTTCCCACGACAGTCGGGTCTACATACGTAACCGGAACGACCCAGATTTATATCTGGCCAAGGACTGTCACTCCAGCAACACTCCCCAAAAAGTCTTTGGGGAATTTGTATGCTGCTACAACAACAACAACAACAACATTCATAGGGAGTCAGTCTCCACCTACCTCGACTCCAGGCCTAGGAATGTCGTTATCGGAGCCCAATCACCACCTGTGGAAGAGACGGAGCTTCAATTACCAAGAGAGACCCGCGTTACTCTGGCTCAGTTACGGTCTGGATATTGTAGCCGCCTAAACAGCTACCTGTCCAGACTCGACCCAAACATCCCAAATGAGTGCCCGGCATGTGGAGACTCCCCCCATGACACCAACCACCTCTTCACATGCCAGCTCAATCCGACTCAACTAACACCCCTCTCCCTTTGGTCCGACCCCATCGAAACAGCTCGTTTCCTGGGCCTGCCGTTAGTTGAGCTCGACGATAATGATTGAAAAGTTGACCCGAAACAGGCGGGGCTTAGTAGTGCCGCTACAACAACAACAACAACCACAACGGGTACACAAAATAACAAATTTTTGTGTCCGAAATTAAATGTATAATCGTACAAATTTATAAGGTTAATTTCTGAAGGGCAGTTTCGGCCACCCGCGGGAAAACAAAAAACAGACCTATTAAGTCTAAATAACCGTAACGACCCAGATTTATATATGGATAAGGACTGCCACTCCAGCATCATTCCCAAGAAACTGTGTATTTAAGTGATCAGATCATTTAAAAAAATACAATTTTTGGTATAAATTTCCTTTTAGAATTAGGTAAGAATTAATACTAAATTGAAATAATATTTCACTCTTTAAATTCTGTTATTAAATTTAAATTTGATAAATGGTTCTAGTACTATGGTCCCATGGAATATCTTTCGACAAGAGTTAAAATGATACTACTAAATTTCTATTGAAATAATATTTCACTCTTTAACTTCTGTTATAAATTTAAATTTGATAAATGCTTCCAGTACTTTGGTCCCATGGAAAATCTTTCGACAAGAGTTGAACAAAGTACATCCTATATCATCTGGTTTAGAAGCAATGGCCCTAAAAACCACAATAGATTTAACGTGCAACGATTATATTTCAAATTTTGAATTTGACGTGTTTACGAGACTCTTTCAACCGTGGGTAACGCTGCTACGTAATTGGCAAATATTGGCTGTCACACACCCTGGATATGTAGCGTTTCTGACTTACGACGAAGTTAAAGCGCGATTGCAGCGTTACATCCACAAGGCTGGTAGTTATGTGTTCAGGTAGGTTATTAATATTCTATTTTATTGATATGTATCTCTCGAAACTAACATTTATTTATGCAGATTATCATGCACTCGCCTCGGGCAGTGGGCGATAGGGTACGTTACCGCCGATGGTGAAATATTGCAAACCATACCCCAAAACAAATCATTGTGTCAAGCATTGTTAGATGGTCACAGGTGGGTTTCCATTTTCGTTACATTTTCGAAATAACCTTATTTGGATGCAATATGTAATTTATTATAGGGAGGGGTTTTATTTGTACCCGGATGGTCAAGCTTGTAACCCCGATCTATCATCGGCAGTGCAGAGTCCTACGGAAGATCATATTACAGTTACACAAGAACAATATGAGCTATACTGCGAAATGGGTATGTTATATATGTAAAAGAAACGCTAGGTAACAAACCCAACTAAAAAAATTTCAATCCAACAGGTAGCACATTTCAATTGTGTAAAATATGTGCCGAGAATGATAAGGATATACGCATTGAGCCTTGCGGGCATCTACTATGCACGCCGTGCCTCACATCTTGGCAAGTCGACTCAGAAGGACAGGTAAGAAATTGGTTAAGCCACAGTGTTATTATACAAATCAATTTTAACTAGGTCAACTTATCAAACTTAAAAATTATTTAGGTCATAAGAGTAATACTTATTTGTGTGTACATAGTTTTTCAAAGCGTAGTGTAAATTCAGCATTATGGCAATATAGTCGTCTTTTGAACTATATTTACAAGTACATACATATATAGCTAAAAATTTCCATCTCCAAAACAGACAAAATTATATTTGTCCCGGATGCGCGAGGCTTCGCCACGCGCTGAATGTATGCACATTTACGTATTTGGAGAAAGAAATCATATGCCATCATGTACTTCGTTTATTATATGTCGCTAGCTTAGAAAGAAAAGTTGTTAAGTCCCATTTTAAAAATTTTACAGGAGAGGAAAAAACCTTTCTATAGCCATTTTCTTTAACTATTTCGCAGGACTTTGAATCAAATATTTTGCGCGTTTAAAGCAAAGCAAAACTCCATAAGAATCAGAAGGATTCGATATTTATTAAAAGATGTCGTATTATTTTGGCCTTATCGGATTTGTGGTGCTTCTTTTGGACTTAGCAAATTTTGCCTTTTATTGCTTATGAAGAGGAAAAAATAAAACAAGTACCTTTATAATTTTCGAAACGATGCGTATTCAATTTCTCTAGCCTCCCATATCAAAATATGAGTTTTCATAAAAAGTGGACTTAGCAACTTTTCACTCTAAGCTAGCGATATATAAAAACACTTGTCTAAATACGTTCAATGGCGTGGTTAAAATATCTCGCATTTCCTTTATACAAGAGGTTTACGCCGACAGGCTTTGCGGCGGCGGCGTGGTCAACTTCAAAAAGAGTCGGCGGCGGCGGCGACGCCGGCGCGTCTGGAAACGCCGGCGCTACTGCGCATAAGGTAGATTCAAAAGAGCCATGAGGCTACTAATCTTATCATGTCAGCCAGCGTTAGGCATTCGCCATGCCAATTAAGACTATAATTCTATTGAATTCATTCATCGAATTAGTTTTAAATTTAAATTACGTTACTCCCTACTTGAATTAAAATGTGGAGTGTCTGACGCTGATGGATGGGCGAACAGAAGAAGGTCTGAGGTATATACGTACATACACACATGGCTCTCTATGTTCTCTTCAGATCCGTATGTTATATTTAAATTTAAAGAAATAAAAAAATTTAAAAAGTTAAGTTATTGGGGTAATTTATGTCGCTATCAATAAATTTTTGCAATAATCTTATCAACTGTTCTGTTAAATTACGGAGTTCTTAGATAGGATTTTTTTCGGATTACATATTGAAAACAAAGTTGGTTTACTTTTTTCTAAAAGTTTATTCCATCAACTCGAACCAGAACGGGCCTTTTTGACCCACTGTTTAAAAAAATTCCTTGTAGATGGTTAAAATTTCCACTAAAATATTAAGCCCCGAATTTTTCTAAGGAGAACCGAATGTAATGAAAAAGGGGGAACTTTAACCCTGTGTAGAAAACATTGCGATGCGAGGGAGCAAAACCTTCCTGGGGTTTGACCACCACTAAGGAATTTGTAATGTAATTTTCACACAGTCACCTAGTACTTGTATACGTACCCCAGAATAAAATAACTTACGAATGTAAAAATTAGCAAAAAAAAGGGTTTGCTTTTTATTGAAAGTCTGTTTAAAATATTAAAAAAAATACACAGGAAAATCAACTTGTCTTTGTTTTATCTCCAATAATTGAGGAGATATGCGCGTTAAAGTTTTTGGTATGTGTATAAAAAAGTAGTATTGTTGTAGTATGGAAAATAATTGTCTACTGCAGGAAAAAATAGTTAGATAACCAGTATTCGACCCTAATTTAACTGTAATAAACGCTTTCGATCGAAAAATATGTTACCTATGTTTTTTCTGAGTTATGTTCTTTTTGGAAAAATAATGGAGATCATATTATTTTCCAGTGGCCCAAATTATGCAAAAACAACTCCTTTAAAAATGTAATTTCCATTTCGTAAAATTGTGTTTTTATACTAGTAGTATTTAGTTCCGATATTTTCGTAACTCGGCGGCGGCGACGTGGCTCGGCGGCGTATACCTCTACTTTATACTATGTATAGAAGATAGTAATTTTAAATAGATGGCAACTCTACTCAAAAAACTTGAAGTTTTTGTACATGCGAAGGTCATGCACTTTCATTTGAAATCTCATTTGTTTATCCAACGGTCGGTGAAGATCTTATAGTTTTTAAACAGGTGGCAACCTCACTCAGAAAAATAATCAGCCCTATTCTGCATTTCGACTCGAATCGAAATTTTCTCCGTTTGGCAACTTTGGTAATTGCGTTCCGTTTCCTTTCGATCAATCTTCGAAATTTACGATTATATGTACCTATTCTACATTTCGATCGGAGTTCCGTTTTTCTAAGTTGCAAATTTGTTGACGGAGAACGTTTCGATTGTTATTTTCGTGGGTTTAAATAATAAAATTTTATAAAAAAAAATAAGTAAAATATAGTAAAGTGATATTGCGCGAGGTTTTCAAAGAGGAAGCACAGGCGTTTTTGTTTTCATTATCTATAAATAAGACTGTGAAATGCACTGAATACAATTTATTCTTTGTATATAAAATTAATAGAAGTATGTACATACATACATACATACATAAAATGTGAAGTTACATAAAAAAAGATGCTTTTATTATTGCACTCGTTTTTACTAACTTTTTAAAAAGAGGTGCGTATGTTGTCGAACTCTTCCCCTCCTCCTAACGGCTTTCAAAATGGAATTCATTTGCGTTCAAATCTTCCACTCTGTAGTAAATGCAAATGTTGTGGAGTGCTCAAACAACGTTTATAATTTGACTGGCTTTGAGCGATGAGTAATACAGTTCATGATGAATTTATGACTCTTCACTCGTCTGAGAAAGATCAAACATGTCCCTAAATCTCCGCCTTTCAATTTCCGCATCAGAAATCTGAGACTCGTTCTCCTCTTCAAGCAATAACGCCGCAGCTATGGATTTCATTTTGATAAATATGTTTCCACTTAAATAAAGCACAAACGAAATTTTATTTTTAAATTACACTGATGTTAGATATATTTAGTTATTTTAAAATATTTACAAACTTTAACTTCATAAGCTGCTATAGTTTGGTGGCAAATATTTCTTTTGTTTTGTTTCGATTTCACACATTCCTAGGCAAACAGCTGATTTCGAAAGATGTTTTCTCTCTTCCTCTTTCGATTCGATCGTAACGCAGAATACCTAAGTTCGATACTTGCGGAGCGGAATGCGGGAACGTAATCGAAATGTAGAATAGGGCTGAATACATACTGAGGATAAGTCTTTTACTTGTACATATGTACGTGAACCTAATGAAATAAAAACATCAAATTAGGCACAGCTGATTTATAAATTCTGTCTCTCACTGAAAGCCCAACAAAGGTAGCCTATGTACATACATGCTCACATATGCAAACAAAAAAGCATCAGCTCCTTACGCTTTTTTGAATACAGCACCTAACAAAAGAAAAACACTATTTTGGAGAAAGAGCGCCTTCACGTATTATGTTAGGTATTAATTTTTAAATAGGTGGCAGCCCCATTAAAAAAATAAAAGCTTATCCGGAGACCATATTCTTTCAGTTGATACCTTATTTTTTAGTCCAATGAACTTTGAAAATCTTATTATTTTGCGAAAGGTGGCAACCCTACTGAAAAAATAATAGATTATTGAACATCTGGAGGCCAAGCATTTTCACTTCACATCTGTGTTTTTGTGTTCATACAATGTTCGAATGAAATAGTAATTTTTAAATAGGTGGCAACCCTACTCAAAAAGTAATACATTATTGAACATCTAAGTGCCGAGCCATTTTATTTGACACATCATTTCTGTTACTCCAACGTACAGTGCGGGTCTTATAATTTTTTAGACAGGTGGCAACCCTATAAGAACTCAAAGTACTAAAGATAAAATTCCTATCGATACGGATTATACTTAAAAAATTTCGTCTAAATCAGTTGGCTTGGTCAAAATATATCAACTTTCCTTTATACTAAGTGTAGAAAATAGTAAGTTTGAATAGGCGGCGACCCTACTTAAAAAATAATAAAGTTTTTGTACATGCGAAGGTCATGTACTTTCATTTGGTATCTCATTTTGTAATCCAACGAACGGGGAAAATATTTTATTTTTTTAATATGTGACAACCCTACTCAGAAAACAAATACATTATTGCGCATGTAGAGGCTAAGTCTTTTCGTTTGACAGTGACGGTACAGATCTGATGCCTACGCTCATTATGATTGAATATGGTAATTTTATTAAATTATTATTTAAGGTGGCAGCCCTATTAAAAAAAATATTAGTGATTTTCTAGAGGCCAATCCAATGCATTTGACACCTCATCTTTTGTAATCCAACGAACGGTGCGGATCTTATAGTTTCAAAGACAGGTGGCAACCCTATTAAAATTCTAAGTAAAAGAAGATCCCTCTCCTGTCGATACAGAGTATATTAGAGAAAATCTCGTCAAAATCAGTTCAGTAGTTTTCGAGATTACCGTGTACAAATAATCTCGACTTTCCTTTATACTATGTATAGAAACGAGATTTATTAGTATTTTGCTCCTACAATAAAATTTCAAATTAGGGGTATTCTCTGAGTCTTGCAAAGCCCTTGCACGGTGCACGGATTGCACGGTTTGCAAAGCTGTCCCATACGAAAACCGGTTTTTACCGTGCAATCCGTGCAATCTGTGCACCATGCAAGGGCTTTGCAAGACTCAGAGAATACCCCTATTGTTATTCATTTGCATTGATGGTCCTACTTGATATTAATTGATACTTTTTTGTTTAATTGCAGGGTTGTCCGTTCTGCCGTGCTGAAATCAAGGGCACCGAACAAATTGTAGTGGATGCTTTCGATCCGCGAAAACAGCACAACCGAAATTCGACGAATGGCCGTCATCAAAATACCGACGATGACGATACAGAGGTATAAATAATAAGTAGCTTATTCTAGATTTTTTAACGCGCTGCGCATCGCAAGTAACCCAACCAAAATATAAAAAATTTCAAACAACCAATCGGCGAGAAAAGTTAAAGTCCATAGTAAACGAATTTACCCTGTCTGTAGTACTAACACTAAATTTGGCGTGAAAAACATGTCAATGAATTTAACTGAACTTACTACTGCTATTTATGAGTTTCATTAGTTCGTATGTGATCTCAAACGAGAAAAGAGCATGAAGTTTAATTAAAAGTACCAATTGATTATTTTTTTGTTGCACTAAAAGGTATAAGGTGATAAAAATCTATGTAAAAGGTACTAAAAAAATTTATAAAATCCACAAAACTTCATCAGAGTTTCTAATTCCAAAAAGTGTGATTGGTTGTTTGTTATTCTTGTTGGTAGTTATCTTGAGAGGGAGGCATAGTTTTGTTTGATCAAATGAAACACACAAACCTTTCTGTAAATAGTTGCTGTATTATCTATTTATTATACACTCATACATATACACACTAAATGCGCCCATACAAATTTCACATTATTATTTATTATTGTTTATTTAGCTCGTATTTAACAATGTTTATGTGTTAAGTTAAAGTTTTTTTGATTTGAACTATGAATGTTTACGTGCTATTATACACATGCATAGTTATTCCAAAATATATATTTTATGTAAGAATGTAAAAGTACTCCATCTAAACAAAAACATAATTTTTTTCACGAAAGCATTTGTGGTTTAAATGCGTTAAATGGATTAAGATGCTTTAAATTGTATAAAGCAAATAATTCTAAAGTCTGCAGTTTGATTTGCATAATTAATTTTGCATTAAGTATATTTGACCCTTTTAGCGCGGAAAAAAAATTTTGTACATAGAGCCTTTCATAGTGGAGTATCAACTCACATTCCTGAAAACGACACTTGAATAAATAATCGAAAATATACCTATATCAATTTTTTATGGTTATCAAATACCCAGCAAAAAACTTCCTGATCGCAGAAGTGAACATGGAATGGTGAAAAAATAAATCAATCCCTTTGATATCATTTTTTTCGTATATTGATTTAACATGGCCATATCTTTGATGGTAATACCTCGCCATTTTGCTAGTGAGAAGCAAATAAGTCTAGATATGCCTTTCGAATAATGAATAAAAAATAAGCAAAAAATATATATTCATTCCACTGCCTTTAGAAGCGCTGCTTATATTTTTGCTGGGTAGCTACAGATATACTTATTTGTACAAATCTATTTGTCAGTAAATTATTGACATCTTAAAAATAAGATTTTTAGATTTAAAATAGACCGCCATCAAACATTAAAACTGTTTTGACTTGGTTTTTATCGTAAAAATCACATGTTCTGGTAATGCAAATACATTGATTTTTTGAAAACATGCTCTTAAATAATGTAATGAAACATGAAGTAAAAAAATGCTTACGAAAAGAATTATGCCTCGTTGCACAAAAGGATCAAGTGTACTTTTTTACTAAGAAATCAATCAAAATTGTTTAAATTATGCAAAAATAATGGTTCTAAATAAAAAAAAAATCAGTTACATTGTTCCAAATTTGCCTAATAAAATATACATATATTACACTCGTTTTACAAGTTTTCAGACGTTTAGCCAAGAAACCCCTGTTATTTTTTATTTTTATTTTTTGTTTGATCTAGTTTTATTTTTTATGAACAAACCTCCAAAGATAAATAAGTAGCAATTAATTTACGATACATACATATTCATATTTTAATGTTATGCTGCAAAAGGAATTACGAACAAATATAAGTATGAGTCGTTCGTTGAGCATTGGCAGCGAAAATTTTTGATTCAGAAATCATTACTCTACATATAATCCTTTTGTAGATATACTTATCTTTCAAGATTTGCATGTTAGGCATATCGTCCTCCCTTCTAATTTTCATACTTTAATGTACGTTTCATTTATAGGTACATATTATGTACGTATTTACACACATATACATACTTATATGTATATGTATATCATACTATTGTGAACATTTCGCGTGTTTTTTCCTAAAAGTTTCTATAAAGTTGTTAAAACTATTTTTGGATAGTGTACACTCCGCGGGCAGTGTCCAACACTGTTTGGCTTAAAGTCTGTTATTTATGCATTTTGCTATTCTAATACTTAGCTCTCGTTTTAGACACAAAAGAATATTCAAATCATGTGTAAAGTAATTAAACGATATGCGTACATTCACATTATTGTATGTACATGCATCGCATATATTACCTAAGCAATATCTCTTTAACAGCAATTAATAAATAGAACATTCATCATCAAAGTATATACCGCCAAGTGTATAGTTCGCTGCGTAAACATTTTGCTATTGCTGTTTAAGCATAACAAGAAATGAAACAAACCAATAAGACTGTTAACCCCTTTTATTTTATTAAATATTTTTTTTTTATATTGAGGTACTCTTTCTTTGAGACAAACAAAGAAAATGTTTACTAGCTTGGAGTCATACGATGGAAACTCTTTAAAAAGTAATTGGATTTTTTTCTGTTCAGTGATCTCTTAAACTTTTTTATAACTGCAATACACAGCCCATACAATAAACTTTTCTTAAAATGATTTTGAGGGTCCATATGTTTTAGTTCCGCATCTCTACAAAAACGTTGACTTCAAGCTAGTTATATCGGTTTATTTAGAGGCAATAACTTTAAAATTAATTTCTATATAAAAGGTCCGAGTAAAAACACATTACATACATACATATGTATGTATATGTAAGTATAAGTTTCGCTCCATGGGCTTAAGATTTCGAATTGAGAAAAGTAGTGCTAATATTTAGCAAATATGTATATAAAACTGTTTCTCTGCACCAGTGATTACATTGCTTTTAAACAAATTCGTTACCAACCATTGCGGAATCGAAAACATTTCTCCTATACGAGTTGTTTAAACTCCAAAACTATTAGAGCAAAAAGTACTAATTTCAAATCGCTTCCCTATTACTGCTCGTAGATTATTTATTCTAGCGTAGTGCTCGAATAAATCTAATATATAATGAGAAATTCATTTTATTCATATTATTCCTCGGACTTAAAATCGGCATTTCATAAGGATTCCAATTTTAATCCGTAACTTCTTTTTAGCTCAAGAGCCAAATATGCACATACATATGTACATACATCGATATGTATATTGTTGTATGCTGTAGATCGCAGTGTCTACCTACATTCATACGTATGTAAAAATGTGTGTATAATTCATTTATTTATTTTTTTCAAATTAGCTTTGTCAAAAAGATATTGCCCCTTAGACTTTTCTGTTGCAATAATCGATAGTCCGATTTATCGAAATTCGAATAGCTACGAACGTAGCAAATACTTTCAAAACATATGTACGATCGCAGCAATTCGGGTTCAGCGATTGCATTTTCATGGTACTCACAAAATTTGGACTACGATGGCGTCGGTGAAAGCCTTATGAAAATGACAAAAAAAAATAAAATAAAATAAATAGCTACGCTAAAAGCAAATACTTAAATAAAGCTTAAACCTACAATAATTATATGTTATGTTAACTTTAAAAGAAAAATTTATTAGAATTATTTTAAATAAATTAATACAACCATATTAAATAATTATGATTATTAATAGTTTTGTTCTAGTAAAACGTACATAAAAAAATATTACGCAAATAAATCTAAATAACGTTGAAAGTGTTCTTCCAAGTTTTTGTTTGTATTATTTATTATTTTTTGCCTCTGCATGCATTTTATGAAATATTATTTTATAGCCAGTTTCACGAAAACGATTACGTGGAAAATGATTTTAGTTCTTTGTATTTTATATGCAAATTTACAAAAAATTAAAAATTATTTTCCATTTACATAAATTGCTGGCCAAACCGGCTATAAGTCTCAGAAGTTTTGTACATACAATAGTTACAAAAAATAAATTTGTAGTTATTTTCATCATCCCCAATTTTGAGTATTCATTTTTGTAACTACATATTTGGAAATATTACACAGGTTTCCAAGTTTGGTAAGAATCAGTTTTCCAACAGAATTGTTATACAGCTGTTATTGAATACATACTTATGTACGCTAGGGTGGTCCAAAAACAGTAAAGTCGGAGTTGTAATGCTCTCACCCCCTAGGATTGTTCTATCTCGAAAAAAGTACCCCTGGTATAGAATTCTTAAAAATCATTATTTTTCTATCGGAAAACCCTGTTTGTCTGCAGGAGATTCCCAATAATAATACCCAATTGTTTATTTAACAATTTTTTAATACTAACGATTTTTTATTGGTCTCCTCATCGCATTTTTCGGAACTTTTGTGGGTTTTTGGCGGACGTATAAATTATAGTTGCGATGAAAAAATGGTTAAATAAACAATTGCTTATTATTATTGGGAATCTTCTGCAGATAGACAGGGTTTTCCGATAGAAAAACAGTGGTTTTTAAATATTATATTCCATTTCTACGAAAAATTGTTTTTCCCCATATAAAATACCTGGAAAACTTTCGGCGCTTTGAGCGACCTCTAAATATTTTTTTATTTCAAAATAAAAAAATATGGGAATATTTTCTTGGGTATAGAACAATCCCAGGGGGTGAGAGCATAAAAATTCCGACTTCACTTTTTCACATGCATTTTAAAGGCACATAATAACAGCAACACTGATGAGAATTTGCAAAGCTTGCATTTGCTACACTGGCACAACCTTGCTGGAAATGCACATTGAAGGTGATTTTTAAAATATTTGTGCAACACTGCGGTTATGATTGCAACTTTTTCTTACAGAGATTTAATAATTAATCCATAAACGAAGGCAGGTGTATTCATTCTTTATGATAAATCATATGTGCAACCTACATTTTGCCTTTTTTACACGAATTGATTTTCTTATTTTTCTATAACTCAGACATTCCACAATCCACTTTATTCAAAGTGCGGGGTCCATTAAGATCATAGCCAAGCTTAACTAACCTTACATACATACACGTCCATCCACAAACGCTACTAGGCTTATCAATTCAGCAGCCACTTTCGAAAGAAAAAGATTGCGAAGATTAGAGATCGGACATTTGGAGCCAATGCAAAGTTTGTAAATACAAATTTTTTAATATCGGATCTAATCGCCTAGTTTTAAAGCACTATGACTTTCTCTCAAAGATAAAAAATGTCCAAAGCGCGCGAACGAACAATTTGCAAAAATTTCGGGAAACATGTAATTATTACCAGCAGCTGACTGATTTATTCTCCAAATCAAGAAACGGAAAATGTAAGATGAATGGTTACCAGAGCTTTTCATATGCAATTTCCTAAGGTAACATGAGAAAAGGAATGTTTAGACAGTTCTGTTTCGTTAATTTCAACTTGATAATTCTCATAATGGTAGTCATTTTAAGGCGCGAGTGTAAGTATAATTACTGCGAATTACCAGTTTATCATTAAAAAAAAAAAAACAGTTTTCATGTGAGATAGTTAATTCTGAATACATTCTTAAGAGCCGGTTTCTCAAGTGGGTTTTAAAATTTATCTGCCCTTTAAACACAAATTTGTTTCTGAAAAAAATGTGTTTGAAGGGCAGATAAATTTAACATGTGATCGATAAAGCAGTCGTTGTGTTTAACCGGAGCTTCTACCTCCGATTAGTACTAATCAGACATTGAACAACCTGCCCTAACTGCAGGTTAAACATCGTTATCGATGAGATGGTCTCGTAACATATAGTACGCAGTCGATAACGATGTTTAACCTGTAGTTAGTGGTAACCAGACATTGAGTAACCGGCCCTAAAGCTTTTACGAATGATGGTTGTTGGAGCAGTTGCGAATCAGCCAAAGCTTTTCTACAATTGAGGTGTGTTTAGATTGTTGTCTTGATATAATGAAAAATTATTTTAAATCCCCAAAATATCCGCATTTTTCTTAACATTCTCCTTTACAATATTATTAAGGTAGTTAAACTTCGCCTGTCCTTTTAGGAAAAAGCAACTTACCAATCTCTGCACTTGGCATGCAGCTCCAAACCAAAACAAAACTCCATTTATGTTTAAAGGCTCGTCCACATACAAGTTTTGTGTTGCGTTGGCGTTGGCCAGTGCTTGCTACAATGAACGCTTGGCAGTGAATACTTTGGCCACTAAATGAACATACTAGCTACAGATAAATTAGTATTTCATATCAATAATTGCATTAAAGAGATATTTCTTGCCCGCATTTGATTAAAAAGGAAAAATATTTCACATAATTTTATTTATTTGCAACAGCTGACGAACGACGCACGCGAAAAGTTAAGAGTTGGCCATCTTTCGGCTTTGTGTTGGCATTATCGTTGCCAAATTTTGGCTATGTGGACAGCTGTTGAAGCCACGCCACCGCAAGCCCAAAGCTGTGTGTAGACGGGCCTTAACTGCCTTCGTGTACTTTTTTTGCTCAAACTCAGTATATGTTCGCCATACAAACGCTTTTCATCTATGTAGAGGACCTTAAAAGCGCATTGCAGAAAGTGCAATACCGGCCACTATTTTTCACATACTTAACTTTTCGCTAATTTTTTATAACAACAAACCGAAAAAATCAGAGTTCCAAACCTTATGCAAAAGTAAAGAAAATTCTGCAAATTTACATCGAAATATTACACATTTTATTTACCTTCTATGCGCCAAAAACCTGCATACTCAACTTTTTTCTAAACAGTGTAAATAAAAAGTGCAATATTTGAATGAAATTTTACAGAATTTTCTTTAATTTTACACACGGTTTGGAACTCTGATTTTTGGGGTTTTTGTTGTAGAATTAACCATACTTTTATAAAAAAATTAGAGAAAAATAGAATATTTAAAAAATGGTTGCCCGTATTGTAAAAAAATCGCTGTACCTAAACTTTATTGACTGTATGTATGCGCTTGCAAATTTTTAACCAACAATATTAGGAAAAAAACACTATAAATAAAAACGAAATGTGCCGTCTTCAGGCACAATGTCGAAATCGGTTTGTCTTCAAACCAAACTTGACAAGGTATGATGGAAATTCCTATTTAATACTGTCATTATTGTGCTGCTATACATATTTAGAACTGGTCAATATGCAATGATGCTGTGAATATTTTATTTACCCTTTTTTTGTTCCACCC